CACTAGGAGACAGTAAACACAGGCCGACCATAAATCATTACTAAACTGGCTTAGAAAATTTTACTTACAGATCTAAAAATCACGTTATATATGTACATGCGTGTTTGCCAAATATATTAACCACCAAGAATGACTCTGTCGAGATACTTAATTTCCATGCACCCCATTTATGTACTTTCCTTTTTACTCAAAAGTACAGTCAGGGCATTTCCTTGGATATACTTGCTTCCCTTCCAGTTATCTTTGGAGAAATTTTGGTTAGCTTCTTCACGTCTTGTTACCCTATCATTACAATTACTAGAGTGGGTATGACCTAATCAGACAATGTTTTCCTCCATTCTCTCTAATCGCTTGATTTAACTTATCTTTCTTAGGAAGAGAAGATAACCCTGCTATTTAGGCTGCCAAATTCATAACTCATAAGACTAGCAAGCATATGAATCTATGACAATAGTTTTCACAATATCATTCCGCACAATCAATCTCTGCATGCATTCTGAGCACACATTGTTCCATCTGTGTTTTTTCACTTAACCTACATTTTTGGATAACTGACACTAAAACCCATTTTGACCTCTGTTAACAATCTTCATTTTCAGGAGTTGCACATACTCTGAACATTATACATCTATTCAAGCAAACTGATACAGAGAAATAACCGAAGTTGGCGCAAGATACTTTTATCCCTTTCAATGCATGCAATGTTTGATCAGTTATACTGGTAAATCTAGCTGAACTTACACTTATAATTTTGTCACGGTGCATTACATTCAGTTTTTTGAATAGTGTACGGTTCTCTGTTTGATAATTTGACTGTTAGTTTCCACAATTGTAATGAAATTTGCGTTACTATTCTGAGCATGCATGGAGAATAAGGACTATTGCATGCAGGCTACTTTCTTTTGCGGCATTGAAAAAATTGATTTACTACATTATAGTAAATTAACCAAAATTCTTCCTTTTTCAACTAATTACTTGGCACTTGATCTAGAAAAGTCCCAATGTCATCAATCAATGATCAAATTTATCAGATCGATTCAAATAAAGAGTTGAACTTTTTCAAAAAAAATTCAAACCAAAATCCAACGAAAGCAACAGATCTATCGACCAGATCCAGAAACAAGATCCAAAACCAAACCGATCCGAGAACTCACCCCCGGCAGCGTCCTCTTATTATGACAAGCATTCACCGCCTTATCCGCCTCCTCTCTCGACGGACAACTCAAGAAGCAGCAACCTAGGGTTTAAATCCCAAACACATTCTCAAATTTCCAAGATCCAGTCCCAAAGCCGAAGAAACAAGAGAAATTGAAGACAGAACGAACCTCTCGAGGCCTTGGTGGCCTTGTCCTTGATGATGTTGACCTCGTCAACGATCGCGAACTCCTTGAACATCGCAAGAAGCTGAGACTCCGTCATGTGCTTCGGGATCTGCCGACGAACAGCTTCAACGCTCATCGCGAGAGCCGTCCCCATTTGCCGGCGCGACGGCGTACTCCGGCTCCTTCTCGCCTCCCTCCGCCATTGTTTCTCTCTCCCCTCGTTTCTCTCTCCTCAGAGTCTCCTTCGTGGTAAAGACCGATCGCTTTGAGGAGTTCTTTTTAATTGTTTATAGGTTTTTTTTTTCAAGTGAGGAGGAGAAGAGAGAGTGAGTTGGAGTGAGTTTAATTAATTGATTAAAATATATTTTTTGGAGGGTAGGGGTTTGGAAATGACGGAAATGCCCACGGAGCGTTACGGGGAGGGAGGCCGAGGAGGTCCCACGTGGACAAGACGGCCGTTGCGGTTTGCTTTATACGTTGGCCTTTTCTGCAAATAAAACTGACATTCATAAATTTCAGTGGAGGTTTAAAAATCTTTGTAGTTTCTGAAGTCTTTCAGGCTTTTGGTACTTCTTAGTGCTTTTGATGAAACTCTGAATTCTATAAAAAGCAAAAAAGTGGGTAAATCGCAAATAATCCTTCTTAATCATACCTTCGTTCACAATTCACACTTAGCACACCCTAGAGTTTAGGAGTCGAAGTGACGATACTTGAGTAATGTTACGTGCGATTAACGAAAATACTTAATTTACAAAAAAATCATTGTTGTGTAAACGTAATCGATGTTTTTAGTCATCATAATTTTTTAGGCATCGGTATGACGTGGATGAATTCTCTTTACTATCAAAAACTAGTAGAGAGGCTTCTACTATATCATGAGAACTTTAATGTGTCATAACAACATTTTATTTTTGTATTAATAAATATATGTGAAGATAATTTTATCTTTTTATAGAGAGTGTGAGTTTAACTCTTTAAGCCTAGGCCTGTCCATCCGGGCCAGGTCCGGGCCGGGCAAAACCGAAGCCCGGACCCGGGCGGGGCCGGTTGAAATGTTTTTTTTAACATTTTTAAAAATCCTCAAAAATCATAAAAATTACAGAAAATGACATAAATTTTTTTAATAACTTGAAATGACATAAATTACAAGTACAAAAAATTACAAAAAAAAGATGGTAAAAATAACTTCTTTATTAATAATCAGTAAATCCTTTACAAGTATAAATTTATTTCAGAATTTGCTGCATCACAATAGATGAGTACATGGTGGAAATCTGCACTGAAGGCGGATTCTGAAGCTACCGTCGAAACCTGCACTGTTAGTAAATTACGAACCATGGTGGAAAGTATAGGATATGAAACTGATCCATATACTCTCCACTATTGTAAAAATATCTAAAGCATTTCCTTGACATTTAACTAAGAAAGCAGATAAATATTTATCTATTTCAGAAACCTCTAATGCTGATCCAAGTCCAGATCCACCAGTTAGTTCAGCTACCATTGCATACCTATCAAAACTTACACTTTTACCTCGGCATGTGCTCGAAGACGCCGAAGCTGTAGACTGTTGTGCAGCTACACCATGTCTAGCTGCATACTCATCATATAATGTTTAAAAAGACTGTTGTGCAGCTACACCATGTCTAGCTGCATACTCATCATATAATGTTTAAAAATAATTTCTAATAACTAAATGATGAGAAGTAGCAGTAAGGATGGATCCATCATCTAAGTTTATAATCTGTCCACCATATAATGATTGTAACAAACTTCGAAGGCCAATATCCTTCAAACATGGATCCATATGAACCCTCAAACCAAAAATATGAGGGATAAGCCTAAAATACTTATTAAACTTGCTTTCCATTTGAAAAATTATAGATCCAAAAGTATCATCCATACGATATTTTGAAAAAAAAAACTTTTGAACATTTAAAATTTGTAAAGTAGCTAAAGTAATTGTTGGATAATAACAGCCAGATAATAACATTATAGCATCATAAAAGACTTGTAACATCTCATTTAAATTACATATAATTGTCTATTCATCTTCAGTTATTCCATAACTACTACCAGAGCTAGAACTAGAAGCATAAAAATTTATAAAATCATTTATAATTTCTTTATATTCTATTGCTACACTTAACATTGCATAGGTGGAATTCCACTTATGGTCAACATCTTTTGGAATTAGTCTGGGCTTATATTTTTTTATTTTATAACATTGTTTTCATCTTTTAATTCTCATTTCAGAAGCATTATGCATATTAGCAATAGTTCTAACATTTTCTATCATGGGTTTAATTTCAGAAAATGCACTTTGAACAATTAAATTTAAAATATGACAGATACATCTAATATGAAAAATTTCACCATCACATGACAATGATAGAGTTATTTTGATAAAATCAACAACTACATTATTATTACTTGCATTATCTAGGAAAGGAGAAAATATTCTTTGATCAATTTCTAGTTTCATAAGTTCTTTAATTATTAAATTTGCAACATTAATACCAGTATGTGACTCTTCAATTGCAATAAAAAAATAACTATTTTAAATATTTGCCAATTTTTATCAATCTAGTGTGTTGTGATATATAAATAACCAGTTTGTACTCTAGATGTCCAAATATCATAAGTTTAAAAAAATTACAGTTTAAATTTTTAAAATAAGAAATTATTTTTCCTTGTTCCTCCTGATAATACTTTAAAATATCATGTTGACAGGTTTGACGATAAAATTTGGTAAATGCAGGATAAAAACCATCTCTAAACAAATTTTTAAATTCATCATCTTCTACTAATCTAAAAGAAAGGTTTTTAAGAATGATAAACCTGATTATGTATTTCCTGACTCAGGTAGCGTCATAACTCCAACTACCAAGACTACCATAGTAGGAGGATTGAGAAATCATAGATTGTCGGATATCACCTTAAAGATTCTGGCCTTTGTTGTGTTTTTCAATATGGCGTTTGAGGTGGTTCTTGTCGCTCTTATGATGAGCTTGGAAAATTTGGCCGCACAACGTACATTTAGTCTTCTGGGTGATGATCCTACTGTGTTCATCCTTAGTGACGTCTATATTCTCAAAAAATTTCCACACATCGGATCTCGACCTTTTAGGAGCTCTTGGTGCAGATTCGTCGCCACCAGATTCAGGATTAACACCGGTAGGAGGAGTAGTTATTGTAGGAGGACTCATTTCTAGATCAGTAGAAGATAGATTTTGCTCTTCATATTCAGATCCAAAAGCCATTTGATGGAAGTATTAGAAAATATAAGAGATTATAAGAGAGTATAATATTGTATAAGAGAGTATTAGAGAGAAACAAAAGAGTTTTTGTGTGAGGAGAAGAAGTGAAAACCCCCTCTATTAATAGAGGTAGCCTCCTAGACAAATGACCAAAAAACCCTCACATTTTGATCCTTTTTTTACTGTTGTTGGGGGTAAAACGGTCAAAACCTCAAATTGGTCGTTATGGCCGGGCCGGGTCGGGCGGCCCGGCCCGGATTCTGCCCGCCCCGACACTATTCCGGGCTGGGTCCGGGTCTGGACCGGTTTTTGAAAAACCGACCCAGGCCCGGGCATCCGGACCGCGGGCTTTTTGGACAACCCTATTTAAGCCTAAAATTCTCCATTGATTTTCTTTATGTATTAGTATAAATAAATCATGTGAAAAAAACATTCAATTATGTGAGTTCTTTTCTCTAATAACATTGAATGATATAGAGTATACTAGAAGCAAAAAAGAAAAAAGAAAGCATCATTTTTTGTAAAATGGCATTTTTGCCCCTTTAGTTACAATTGAAAGGGGGACGTATCCACCACTCATCCGAATTTGCACTACCCTTAGTTAGTTTTTTATGTAGTAGTGTATATAATAGTTAATTTTCATGGATAGTTGAGATTTGTCCTTGAGTGTAGATTAAGAAAATATTACAATTCATTGGGATATGATGAGTCCTAAATTTAGAATGAATCACAATCCCCCACTATGCAAATCCAAGACTATAATTTATGTAGGTACCGTTTGGTAAGGGGTTAAGTGAGGGGTTAATGAGACTTAACCCATTCTTAACCAGTCAAACACAACAAATCTATATAAGGGTTAAAGTAAGTTAACCCTTCATAATTTGCCAAACATAAAAAATATAGAAGGGTTAAGTTAACCCCTCTAGAGGGGTTAAAATGAGTTAACCTCTCAAAATGAGGGGTTTACTAATACTCCTATTTAGATGGAATAAGAGTTAACCCTTCTAATTATAAAGAAAATAGTCAAAATTATTGTTATTCTCAAACACTAAAACTGATCATAAGGGCTAAAATAAAACTTATTTAACGAGTTAATAATTTAGTCCTTCGGATTATCAAATGGGCTAAGTATATTAATCATTCTCTTTAACCCCTCTTCATTAACCATTTACCAAACGGGGCCGTAGTGATTATTGTTTTGATAAGGAAGAAATCTAAAATTGGACAGCAAAAAGTTATCACTCTCTGCAAATTTTCTTACTTTTATTCACACATATTGACGTAAACAGATTATTGATTAGCTTTTATGTAGTGATTATTGTTTTGATAAGGAAGAAATCTAAATTTGGACAGCAAAAGGTTATCACTCCATGCAAATTTTCTTACTTTTATTCGCACATATTGACGTAAAGAGATTATTGATTAGCTTTTTTTTCTAGGTAGATTTATCAGCATGTGCAAAAGTGATGAGTCTTGGGAAATCATTACGACATCGAATATCATTATTATTTTCTTTGATGTTTTAATTTACATGTCTTTTTATCAAGTTATTAAGTTATGTTGTGAAAAGAGATACTAGTATCTAAACCCAAATCAGTATCTAAACCTAAATGATTTGGATTTAGAATTTACTGATAACAAGATGTGGTACATGGGAAGCTATAACTCAGTGACGTAATCTATATTATTTTTAATTTTTGTTCTTTCTTGGTTGAAGATGATTAGCTTTTTGGATAAACATTAGAAAACTCCCCATAACTTTAGATGACTAATGTCAAATAACTTCTATAATTCTTCCCCACCACACACACAAAATCAAATAAAAAACCCACATGACTTTAAGATCTTATCGAAAGAAACTCATTGAAAAGTTGGAGTCATAATTTTTTATGGA